TTGACCACCTACCAGAAAGCCCGAAAGGAACTAAATATACCATAAGTTTATTAATTTGAAATTAAGGTTTTATTGCATATTGTTATTTTATGAAGATACGCACTTCTTTGTGCACAACCAACTTGTAATGTATGTATTTAGCATTAGCATAGTTGTCGCAGATGTAATAATTTGAACTCTGAGGTATTGACTACATGGCATAAGGTAACTTGTGCAAATGGAATTAGGCCTTTATCATTACTTCAAATAAACTAACTTCAAAGTGCGTTTAAAAAGAAGAAAACGTTCAATAGTCAAGCCCTGGTCTAGAAGATGAAAGGAAAATACACATGTACACCTCCACATGCGAAATCTTATTCAAATAGAAGGGAAAAAATCGTAGATCCATATGTACAGTCTACGATGTCCGTCAAAAATTGTATTTAAAATAATTCGAAAGAAAATAAATTCGATTTTGTTACATTATATAGATAAATAACTAAACTACTAAAATGAGCTGATCATGAGTATTTAAATATGTAAATATACCATACATATATGCATTTGTTGGGTTTTACAGAGTGAACATGTAGAATTTGTAGCTTTACCCTGCAATACACAAAGTAGTTCAACCTGCTGTATTATGCAGCTTAAATAAGACTGAATATAAAGGATGCAAGAATAGGAATCCAATGTGCGTTTTAATTATCAACAATAACAGGTTCCATTACTGAATTATTAAAATGTTTGAAGAGAAAGCACACAGGTTTGTATCAATAAATGCAAACAGAAGACTATTTCAATTAAGCCGTCCTGTGATTGGTCTGCATGGATTTTCTCTAATTTTCTTCCCATAGTTCTCCCTGGCCTACATCCTGTTTCACGCAAGAGAAAGTCAAGTTGGCGAGAAACCCAAGTCCCGTCCCGTCTATGTGAAGGCTTCTTACCAACTAAATCAAAGCTCGATCCAGCTCACTTTTCTCAAAAACTTTCTCAATTGGGGAAGAAAATAAGAATGGCACACACCGTGGAGCACAAACACAAAGAAAAGAGAACCAATTGAAGGGTACTCACAATCAAGAGAGAGGTAAACATTGACAATGTCAGTCACGTGAAGGCAGTAGGAAAGCAAATACGTCAGCAGTCATAAAGTTGAACCGAGTATAGTGTTACATCCATTTGAACTAAAAGCTTTTGTTATCCTCGACAATAAAATGTAGGAAGGCACAAAGGAAAATATAAACAATACGATTTCGTCAGAAAGTAAAAAAAAAGTTCAAAGGTGTTCTTTATTCTCAATCACTGTCTTTGGCATAAACTCAAAAATACGAAAATTGAGATGCCAATTGAAGAATATACGGGATATTGCGACATCCCGTTGTTTTTATATTGGTTTTACGTAAGTGAGTCCTCCTAGAATAAATGTCCAAGATGACTCAGGAGCGTGCAATGTATATTTGTTAATACATACTTCCAAGACATAGCATTGCAATGATGACACTGGAATTATCTCAAAGTAATGACAATTTCTACGGCTTATTTACAGCGCTAAATAAAGTAGGTACTCATTTCCTCCAAATACGTACTACTCTTCTCTGGCATTGGCAAAGTGTGAAAGTTGTAAAAGAACATACACTGGGGAACGAGAAGCCGAAAACGCCTGCCAAAGTGATAAATATCAGTCACTAGACCGTTAATATCTCACAAGGTTCAGCAGTGTCCGCACTGTCTCTTCTGTATTCTATAAATACATGTGCGGTGGTTAAGCTGGAACCAGTTCTTTTTGCAGGAAATCTATTACAATTCTTATAATTTCAATCCATTGTTGCTCCCTTTCTTGCTTGTGATGATACAAGAGAAGCGAGAGAAAATGGACAGCAAAGTGTTTACGAGGCAGTTACGTAGTGTGTCACTGTCAACGTCAGGGAGAAAAGGAGCCATGGGTCGGCATGGTCATCAATTGTATCAGAAAGTGACAGGCGGACAAGAGGAGGCGCATGGATGGGTAGCGATTTTGTGCGTCTTTAATGATCACTCAACTACCTGTTATCGTTTTTAGAGCAATAATAATCACGCTGCAATGATAATCATCTCAAGGCATAAATTTTAATCTAACTCGAGTTTTAAGTTTTTGGTTTGAAGTTAACCTGCTTGTTGCAGTAGCCGATTGGGTTTCACGGCGATAGTAGCATAATTCATATCTTTTGTATATAACCGACTAGACCAAAGTAAGCAGAATTCCAGCAATTGAAACTGTACAGCAGCAGTTACCAAACACTCCTTTCTATTGTATATCCTTGCGGAATGAGCATGGCAAAACAAACAAAGAGGAGTTCCACGGAGAATTCAAGAAAAATAAGTTGATAAAAAGAAGTTTCGCTTTATTTTCTCTCATGGAATAGTATATACTTACAACCAGGACTAACGTTCATATAAGTGGAGCGAAAACTAACACAAAAAGTACTGATAATAATAAGTAAAACAGTAAAGAGTTGTAGAGTCACATGGACATAAATTGCATGTTAAATAACACTAGCGTTCGGATTTTTTTCTTTGTTTAAGTGATGAGAGTCAGGTCAGATGATACGTTATTGGTGCATAATAAATACATACATAGAATGTAGAAAGTACAAAATACAGCCAGAAATGTCTACTTTGTTCCAATTCACAAGTGTTTGCGAAATTCCGGTTCTCGTTTTCTTCTCTTAAGTTTTTATAGCAAAATAAAAATCTCAACAAAAAACTTTCGATTAAATAGATCTCAATTTGATCAGTGTTGAATATTTTTAAGCAGCCATCGTGATTGAGCGATCATTCCACTTTTACAACCTGTCCGTGAAAGTTAACTTTCCAACTTTCCAAATGAAAAGTTTTCCTCTACTTCTTACGATCAAATCACGCTTCAATGTATTCCGACTATACATTTCTACTCTCATGACATTTGAGCAGACTACTACATCTTCTTCAGCCATCAGTACTTTTAAATGAACGGGATTGAGAATCAATCCAACTTCTGATGGCCAATTTTCTATTCACAAGTTTATTTGGGTTTCTGATAAAAGGCAAACTTTGCAATTGAAATTTATAACGCAACTTTTATGCATTTTACCGACGGACATTTTGACGTCCATGAAACCCAATGGCACAAATTACACTGAAAAATGGGATATTCTTGTGAATAGATCTTCCTTTGTGTTTATGCCTTGTCTAGTAAAGAAACACGATTTGTTTAGGTACCATCCAGCGTCCAGCTAAATAGTTCCCCGTCAGAAATTCTGTGGAAGACGAAACACAACCAACCAACCAACAAACGAACGATCTTTCTTTCTTTCATAGCAAACTTTGCTTAATTCATTGTGAGATAAAGACTTCTATTCGTCTTGGATTAACATCTTTGCCCAAATGGAGGAGGATTTCATTAGGACCAAATACACCCTGAAGTTGTCTCCTGTGAGTTAAAGCCTCATAATTTACCGATTCTATCTCAGCTTTCGAAGGAAAAAGCTCCCTTTCATTTTCTGCTTTTCTTCTGCTCCTATCACGAAATAATGCCAGTACAACAAGGCTAACAAGTTGTAGAATAAATACACAGAAGACATATAAGTATACACGGTTCATGGGCAAGCCCGTCCCATATCGCCCTCGCTGTCTTCTTCCTTGTTGTATATTTTCACTTGAGTGAACTGAATAAACTTAACAAAACTGGGCCACATTTCTTGCCCTGCTCTTTCTCTCCTTATCACGGACTCCTTTGGCTTTTGGTGGACATAACATCTTTGTGCTTTGTCTTAGAAAGTGACATTTCAACCGGAAAGGCAAAGTTTTGGTCTCTGCTGGCTGGCTTTCTTTCTGCAAATAATAATGAATGACCACCCTCGGATTCCTGTGCAACTTTCCTCATCCAAGCAAAAGAACATCCAACCTGAAGGATAAAAATTGTGCTCCTAAAACATTAGGTATTACTGTAGGGTGCAATTTAATTTTGAGAATAAAGAAAATACGTATCCATGTAATGTACACTAAATCGACCGATATGAATTTTTTTCAAATTATTTATCAGCTTCATTTTCATACGTTGGGAGAACTATATGGTCATGACTCAGATTGAAGGAGAGTTGCTAAACGTTGTGTGTTGAATTGACAAATTCCGTTCAACGAGAAGATGCAATTTTCGTGGGGGAAATGCGTTTAGAGCTTGAGGTTGCTTCTTGACAATAAATATGTCTCGGGCTACCTCCTCCACCCGTCATGCCCGAGTTGCTTTGGCTAACAAGAAACAAGGCCGATTTCAAAGGACAAACGAGCAAAATATATATAAAAAAGTTTGCTTAGCAGACTGGTGGTGGATTTAGGTAAGAGAGGAGTTAAACCGGCGCCAGCATGGGGTGGCCCATAAATTAACAAAGAGAAGACATTCACTTCCCGTTCAAAATCTCTCAAGGAACGATAGAAGCTCAGGCGGAGAGAGCACTACATTTGGTAAAAAATGGGAAATTGCAGAAATTTTGCTGAGGCTAAGAAAGAAAGGAGCAAGGTTTTCCACAAAAAAATCGCTATTATTATTACTTATGCATGTGACCATTGTCCTTTCTCAGACATTTCGCAGCCATATCCAGTATGTACCTATCTGTAGTTGTCTCCAAGAAGGAAATAACGAAATGCAAGGAAGTTTACCCATTTTCAAGAGAGGAGGACTAGCCATCAACATATACATTATTATTACAGATTAATGATAATGTATTTCTGCAAAATAATGTAATTCAATTCAAAACGGTGTGATGGTGCCATTAAATTTTCATAATGTCACCGCCAGCAAGAAGGTGCATAATAATGCAGAGTTCAGAGTTGTACTAAATCTGAAATTCATTCTCCTGCTTGATCAAGACTATTCAAAACTTGTACACATTTGCTTGATTTGGTCGGATTCATGCAATGTAAATAGGTAAAAGTTCATGCATAGATAAGACGCGACCACTGCACTGTACATCGGATGTACCATTACACGCTGATAATATTGTACTGTCAACTGTGGTAAGTAAACACACACACACGTTAACGAGGAGCACAGTTGGAGCATTATTCATTGACTACGCTTTTCCCTACTGAGAAAAAAAATATAATAAAAATCTGCCGGATCAAAATTTTGAAGTTTATTATTGCGATAGAAAATAAAATTAATACAAGAATGTACACCGGCGTACATAATAATTATTATAATTATTATAAGTAATACAAGTGCTGTAAACAAAATGCATTCTTCAATTAATATTGGGGTTTTGCTCCGCTGACTGCTGAATCTTATTTTGACTGCTGAATTTTTCTGTGTTAATGTTAAGCTGGACTCAACGTGACAAAGTTTAAATCTCTCTTGTTAATTTCAAGCGGTATCTTGATTATTTTGTATTTATTTGTACTTGTCGCCACATGTGTGTTGAGTGAGTGCAATGTCGTCATCAACAGCAGAAAAAACTGGAGAAGGGGGGGAAAACATGTAAATTTTTCGAATTTTGCATCGATTTGGTAAATTTCAAGTCAAGAAAGTACTGAATAATAATATTTTATTTTCTAGTAAAACCAGATATTGCGGCGATTTGGCAGAACTTGCTGATTTGGACGTGCTGACCCGTCAACTCGAGTGCCCATCATGCTATGAAGTACCGTTGCCCCCAATCTATCTCTGCACAGCAGGTCATAATGTTTGCTTCTCCTGTAAATCGCAATTGAACAAATGTCCCTTGTGTAAAGCGCCGTTCTCCACGACGCGAAACTTTGTGATGGAAGGAGTAATATTGGCCTCAAAATTCAATTGCAATTACAAACATCACGGATGCGTGGAACTCGTTCTTGGAGAAAAATTCCATGAGCACGCCAAGACCTGTCTGTACAGGTGAGTGAGTGGTCGTCTTTTTATTTTGACAAGTTGTTCTAACAAGTTACATAGAATTTGATGTTTTGAACTGGACAAAAAAGAAAGAAGTCGATTTATGTGAGCTTATAGTTTACAGATAGTAGAGTTTTTCTTTTTGTAGATACGTATTTGTAGATACCTATAACCATTTAGTACAAGAGTTGTGTAGAAATCTTAAAGGATTTAAAGTGAATGAAAATGAACTTGACCGCACCTCGACCGACCTTGTCACCTGTCATTTACTCCTTTTTCCTTCCTTCCTTCCTTTTCCTACTGCGACCAACGGCCCGGTGCTAGTTGGTTGAGGGAAACGTTGTTCCAATTTATGGAAATTTATTCTGTTCACTTCTCTTATTTTATAAGGAATGGAGCAATCTCCAAAGAGAAGGAACCTCAGAGTAGTTCTTCCACCAATGCAAATGACGAAAGTTCCTCTCGTCCAACAACGGTACGACACGTTGGCGGTTGTTGTCAGTGGATTTCCTCCTCGTCAAATGATCCTATCCCTCAGGATGCAGTGGAAGGTGGATTTGAACATGGGACCTTACTCTACGTTTCCAGATCCCCTTACAACGGGGGCATTTTTCCAGGAAAGCTGAATGCTCAATCTCGCAAGCACTTTTTCCCCCTGGGTACCGAGGGACGCACCAGTGATGACTATGAAGTGAGTTTAATCATACATTCGAATAATTCATCATTAGTTTGTGAAACTCTTTCTGGTGATTTATTCCAGTTTCCTGAATTGCTTGAAAATTCACAAACTGATGCGCTGAGTTCTGTGCTATAGCATTCTATAGAGATGTTCTTCAAGTTTTATTGAGCTGGGAAAATTATTTGGTTTTCTAGGTGCTAGTCGCTTCACCTGACTCTGTCCAATGGGTCACTGCTGAACGAGGACAGATTCCTCCAAACCCCATAATTGGAGGTCGGACCGAGCTAGGGGAAGCTCTCTATATTGGAAGATGTGGTTTCAACGGCAATTTAACCACTGGGTGGGTGCTACCATGGAATAATCGTGTTATGACCACGTACAACACCATGGTTATCAGCAATGGTATATTCGAAGTTTTGGTAAAGACTGAACTCGGGGTTGCTCTTGATTTGTCTTCTACCTGACTATCAACTATTTTCTGTACTTTTGAATTTTTGATCTAATTTTCACTCAAGGCTGACCGTACGATGTGATCGAAATAGTGCACTCTTATTTATAATTGCAACTTGTTTATAATTGTGTAATACGTATTCATTAAGTTACTAAATGTACTTTTTATGCACTTTGTATTATTATTTTCATATATATTGTTTACGTGGATTTTATAATTAATGATGCATCTCATGTAAATTTGTAAGGCGAGGGTTTTGACAGCAATGAAAATAAATTTTAAAAACGTACCCCAATTAAGAGAAATACTGGAACAATGAAGGAGATGACCTATAAATAGAAAATATGTTTTGTCAAACAATTCCCACACCCCCGCAATCTAGACAAATTGGTAACAATTAAATAACGATTTGACTTACCATTCCTTTTTCGATAGACATCCAGCAGTAATGTCGGGTTTCGTACCCATCTGGGTTGGCCAAGTAGCTCATCTGTAAAGACAGGAACATTTTAATTCCTCAATTAAATTTCTCAGTTTTCCTCTGAATAATCACTAAACAAAATGTAATTTATCTTGTTTCATTTTTTTTACTTTGAAAAATATTTTTGAGTAAGTAGCATGTGGACGTAAAATATGGTTATAAGTAGGATACTGAGATATGGATTACAATTTTTAACTTTACTACATCTTACAAGGTAATAAAAACCAAGGTGTCCAACGAGTTAAGGGCCGACACCAATACCAAAATGACCACAACACATGACTTATTAAACAAACTGAAGGAATTTCCGTGTAAAATTCACTTTTCGTCACGTTGTGACGATATTTGTGACCAGCGCATGACCATCGGGTTGCCAGAGAGGGAGAGGTCGGCCGCTGAACGATCAGGTCTTGCACAGAGAAGCGTCATCGTCTTCAGAGATTTCGAATTCTTTCAAATTTTGAAAGCATCTTGAAATTTTGAAAAATTTCTAGAATTTCTTCAAAATTTCAAAAATTTCTCAAAATTTCAAAAATTTCTCAAAATTTCAAAAATTTCTCAAAATTTCAAAAATTTCTCAAAATTTCAAAAATTTCTCAAAATTTCAAAAATTTCTCAAAATTTCAAAAATTTCTCAAAATTTCAAAAATTTCTTAAAATTGTTAAATTTTAAATTTTTTCACACTTTTTTCAAAATTTCAAAATGTTTTCAAAATTTGAAAGAATTTGAAATCTCTGAAGACGCGTGAAGACGACGACGCTTCTCTGTGCAAGACCTGATCGTTCAGCGGCCGACCTCTCCCTCTCTGGCAACCCGATGGTCATGCGCTGGTCACAAATATCGTCACAACGTGACGAAAAGTGAATTTTACACGGAAATTCCTTCAGTTTGTTTAATAAGTCATGTGTTGTGGTCATTTTGGTATTGGTGTCGGCCCTTAACTCGTTGGACACCTCGGTATGTTCCCTTGTTAGTAGCAATTATCTCTCCTCCAGTTATGAATACAAAATCATTTTTCTAATTGTTTTATAAATTGATGTCCATGATCTCAGCTCTAAATCCTAACTTTCGATATTTATTACCATTACCTCTCGATGAGATAAGTTAGTAATTGACATTGTACTTTATTGATTCCTATATTTTTTGCTCCTTGTGTATTTGCAGGTTCCAATTACGAACAATATATTACAGATTATATCTGCATTGCTCTCAGAGCTGGGATAATCCTGATTAAGGATTATGGATTTTAATCCCGGATTATGGATTATTAATCCATAATCCCTAATCCGACAATGAGAGTTTTTTGTAGATTAATCCCAATCCATAATCCAGATTTTTCTGGAATTTGAATTAATCCGGGAATAATCCCATTAGATGTCATTAATCCGTAATCGTGATTACGGATTACTAATCCTGATTAATCCCAATCATGACTACTAATCATGATTATTAATCCCGATTAATCCCAATCATGATTACTAATCATGATTAGGTATTCATGATTAATTCTCAATCTGGATTACTCAGTTCAATTCCCGTAGTTCTATTTCATCCCACTGTGTAGCTTGAAGTCTCAAGTTCTCACAACTTTGTCCTGTCGGCTACCATTTGAAGAGTTAACATGTTTTTACTGCCTTGTGCTACATATATCAATTGAAACTGGCGTTTTAAATATTTTATGTGAAACCACATAGTTTACATTTTTTGGGCTAGATATATCTGTAGGTAGTGTAAAAATCATTAATCACCAAAATAATCCGGATTATTAATCCATAATCCATAATCCTGAAATTTCCAGAATTCATGGATTAATCCGGATTAATCCTGACATGAATTAATCTGACGAAAATAATTTAATCACAATCCACATTATTTTGTGGTTAATCCATAATCCTTAATCCACCCTCAAAAACGAATAATCACCCAGCTCTGATTGCTCTTGTCTGAATGAACCGCACTGATTTGCCTCGACTGCGACCTTGTGGTCGTGATTTTATTGCATGAATCACACGCCCACCACTACATCTCACATATCTTGTATTGCAAGTTGAATTTTTCCCAAGGTTCTTTCCCAAGTGTCCGACGATGATAAGCCTCACGGGCAGAGGGAGAAAATGGTCCAATTGAGAACCCACCACTACAGTGGTCGAGTTGAGGGAGGCAGGAGGAGAGGGGGCAGTGATACGTGTATAATGCCGGTTCCGAGTACAGACAAAAGCTTTTAGAAAGCTGGAGCAGGGTGGGTGAAAGTTCAAAACATAAAATAAAGCATCTCTCTTGCCTGCCTTCTGATAGGTTGGCATGATTTGTGGATGCAGTGCCACATTGGGATGGGACGTGGTCACTCCCTCCTCGGCAAGATGTGAACTTGCACAGAAATAAAATAAATAGTGCAGATGACAGATAGTGAAGCGTGGCAGAGGAGAGTGGGCGTTGTATTTTCTCTCATAAATTTCATTATTGAATACTTGTTCAACTCTGGCAACTTCGGAAACTAATGGCCACCATTAGAAAAGAATCAGAGCCAAAAAAATCTAATATTTCCCCAACAATTGTAGTGTCGCGTCAGATTGGTTATCTCTGTTACACGCGACTTGCCGTCTTGTCATCCTTCTGACAGAACCGACAAGATTTCCCTTTCGCTTATCCCTTCATTATTATTAGTTAGAACAATCACGTTGGAAGGTTGTGCCAACTTTTTATACATGCGTTATTGGGCACGTAACGAATGACATGCACATAAATGCTGTCTCTGTTAGCACAATACTTGCTGATCCTCAGTGTAGGGTAGACTACATGTAAGACTTCCAGGATTTGAGAAAATCTCAGGTTGGTCATGTGAAAGCGAAATTCTTTTATGTGAACCAGTTTCAGTCCACACCCTCCGAACGTGTTTCCTTGCTGCGTTCGTATGTATGTATCTACGTACAAGGCAACGTGATAACTGAGCGAAAAGATATTTATGTGCTTGGAATTTTGCCAAATGGAATTATACGGTTTCAATTATGCTGTTCATATTAATATGTATGTAAGTATGTGTATAGCACTGCTATTACACCAGACATTATCCAGTATCTAGTTGTTCCATATTAGTGCGTTTGATGTAAATATTTATTTATGAAATGTGCCCCCCTCCTTTATTATTACCATTAACCAATGTAACACAAAATATCCATACGTCCAAGTCAAGGAAGGTCCATAAAACTTCCGGCCAGAAGTATGTAGAATCTCGCTCACTGTAATATTAATCGCATTGCCAAGAAATATATATTTATGTAGTGTTCAATGCAGTACAGTCGATTCCTGTCTTGGACAGTAACGCTAAATCCCGAAATTTTAAAACTTTCTATTGACTAAAATCAGACCACGCAACTCAATCCTCTTCTGGGATCATGCTCTGGAAGAAGGACACGTACAAAGTCATATCCACCTTCTGCTTGTGTTAAACCTTCTGCTGCCTATGTAAATTTTTGCCTAATCTCCAACATCCGAATATCAGTTGGGTGTCTGTACTTATATAAACTCGATTACCATGTGCATAGTTTTCCCTCTCAAATTTCTACCTTTATATTTATGAAATAGAAAATATTTAAGGCTGAAGAGGATGCAACCAGTTGGAAAATTTGCTAACATTTCACCCTGATGTCAACGACAGTAATGACTCCAAATAAGTGAGTACTTACTTAGGTGTACTCACTCCAAATAAATTGTGTGTATACGCTCTTGTATTCGAGATTATGCATACAAAATTCTTCTAGCTCAGCGTATGTCAATAGATGCATGTAAATATGCATATACGTACAATCCAATATGCATTCATTTCGTATGAAAATATGAAAATTTTTAATGTAATTTTATACCTCTTACATAAATATATGCAAACTTTCATACATGTAGTTACGCAAGTTTGTGGTCACTGGAGGTGTTCAACTAGCAGGGATTAATAAATTCACCTAGATATTTATACATTTAGCTTGGTATTCATATATAACTGTATAACTATATGCATACATATTGGCTCGCTCCAGTCACCACTGATTCTATTTCACGTGGGCGTGTGAAACCTTATGATAAATCTGGCCCTATTGATCATTAGATTTTCTATTAGTATTTATAAGTCCAGCGTTTGGTTAGTTAGTAAATAGGCTAAAATATTCCCTGCATATTTGGCATTGACCAGGGTTTGGTTACAACTCTTTTGTTGAGTGCATGACATTCAAACTTGGTCAACCATTTAAACGATAAATTATTCCATTTGTTTTCACCGGGTTGGGTATGATATGATTATGGCATAAAGCACTCGGCTAAATGAGTAATGGGAGTGCTCCCTCGAGACGAAATGGAAGAGCTTTTGTTGTTCTGCTGCTGATGCAATTTCTAGATGAGAGTGAATTTCGATATAAATCCTCGCGCACCACTCCTCCCTTAAAAATTATCATGAAAGGCACTAAACTGAGCAACGTTGATAGCCAGGTAAACCACGTCATTTCGATATACTTAGATATGTATAAATATGGAATTTTCTAGGTAAACTTGTCATGTGGCAAGCGATGCGAGTATGGCTAAACTCACTGGAATATATATATTTGCTTCGTTACTGACCGAGAAAATTTGTATATAAATCATAATACGGCATTAGAAATGTTGCAATAAAAACAGAGATCTAGAAAATCAGTGCAGAATCTGAAATCTTGGGAGAGAATTGCTTGGTATGCTTCAGAGTTTTTTTTACTCCAATGACCACTTGACCAGCATAACTTATTTGAGAACACTTAATTAACAGTGGGGACATGCACTTAGAGCCTGTCATTTTTCAATTGAAGGAGAAGCTGCTCGTTATGAAAAGCTTAAAAAGAAAATAGTTTGCGGTTTGAATGTGGGAGTGTTGTCAAATATATTTGACAACCCTTCCATAACATAAAATGAAACCAAAACGTGGATCCAATAATTGTGTCACTGCAGGCAGACAACATCTGGTCACGGTCACAACTGACTCTGATGTTGTATACGTCACACACAATCCAGTTACTTCAACAAACTCCGCGGTGGTGAGTAGTGACAGTGAGCGTGGTCCACGTAGTATAATAAAAATCGAATCAGGATGAACAAGAAAAAAGTTTTAGTGAAAATTCTTGAAACTTGTAATTCCATTTATCAATCAAAAACTCGTATACAAAGACTCGGCCTTTCAGCCCAGTAATAAAATCAAAGAAAGTTATCCACATTCACAGAGTTTCGGTTTACCGAAGGAGAGAATGGAAACTTTTGTTACAGATGGAGAAAGACACTGAAGACAAACTTTCTTCACAATGACAAGTAAGAAACTACAGGATAAAAAATATATGAGTGGACTGAATTCAAGGAAAAATTCTTTCAAATAGAGAAGAGGACAAATGTTGAGGAATGATAAAATGACCATCGTCCAACCGTGTCACTTACTACATAACTTACACAGAGCAAGAGACCTGAGAAGGGAAAGTGCACTTACTGCTTCTTTCAAATCACGACGGGCAGGAGGGACCAAGTGAAAGTACAAGATATGAAAAACAGACTTATTTTTTTATTTCTAAAGTTGTCATTCGAACGATGACGGCCTTTCAAGCATCCCTCACTCACTATCATTCCTCCACTTTTTCTTTGATTTAGAAACGAGACGAGTTAAATTCAAAGCAACTTTTCCACCATGGTTTGTAATTTAAGGATTGTGAGCCTCAACTCCCACGCCCAACTCGTAAAAAGTGTGATAAGTCTCAACTCTCTTTTCATGTATAACAATGTTGTGCAAACAAACTTTACGAGCGATATCACATATACGGCGCTGAAGACCAGAGGGTTGTTTAAAATATGATTACACAATTCCATCAAAATAACAAACCATGCTGTACTTGTGTAAATATGCATGTCTTACACAACACGAAATCTCTTGTACCTTGAATTGATTTCGTGTTCTTGGGATGTTGTTGTATTTACCCAAACCCTTAGACCTGGTGTAACGATGTCCAAAGAGGCAAAACAATGTGGATTTTTTATGAAGCCTTAACACTAGGGATCTGTCTCCATTGCACATACACACGAGTGACATAAATTCAGAAGGTTGGCTTATCCCACAGGGATTCTGTGGTATGTTCCAGACTACCGAGATTTATCCAAGGGGATTTTACAACTCGCCTCACAACCAACCAACCAACCACAAGGAAACCAGGATACTTTCGAAGCAAGCAAACCTCAGCTAGCCCATTTCGTCGTGTGTTCAACTTGTAGTAGTTGCAACAACAAATTCAAGTAGGTCATCGTGATACGAAGAAAGAAAGAACGACAGGGGACGGACGAGTCTTATCTGTTGGGATGATCATGGCGAGTAGTGGGACGACAAGAAAGACAAATTTGTGTCCACCACCAACAAGCTCTGTTGTGCATTATATTTAGTGGCCGTGGTGAGGTTACGGACATGTACATCAAATCAACGAAAGCAAACCCGTCGCCCTGTTCTTTCAAAGTAGACCAACCATAGAATTATTATGATCATGATGCGAAAGGAAATTTACGATGTAAATACATATATGAGTGGAGTGGCGTGCAAGTTATTTTCTCTTCAAAGAGCAGCCACGCAAAATGTGAACCTGCGTGAATGGGAAAAATACTCAGCTACTATATGCATTAAAACGCATGATTTATGAATTTTTAGCCGGAGCCAGATGGACCTGTCATAACGATGTAGCAGCCTTAAGTCTTAGCAGCCGATTGATTTGAAATTTAAAACACAGTTATAGTGCACATATTTAGGAATTAATCCAAAATCAGTGGTTATCCACCAGTCACCCACAAAAAAAAATGTAGAAGAAAATTGGCAAAAATGTGTTGATTATGTTGTGGTCACTTACAAATATGAAGGGCAAAGGTGCAGTCCAGGATGCTGAGCAGTATCGCAAACTATGGGACGACAAGAGTGGTTGTTTGGCTTCCCCTCTCCCAGGTCGATCACTGGAGTCGGACACAACGAGATCCGGGGCTTCCGCATGACGCCGGAGTTTTAGGTAAGTTCGAATCGTATGGGCTGAAAAATGGTAATAATTTATCATGTGCTTTTATTCGCTAATACAATGATGACCTCTTTGCCGTCTTTGTGTGTTCTTGTTCATAATAAAACATGAAACGTACCAAATAACCAGCAGCCGATAACCAGGTGCAGATAATGTAAAATCATTGCGACGGTGTTGCAAACATCTGCTGGCTCCGTTGCCTATTTGTACAAATATTCACAAATGAGTTTTAAATTCGTTATTTTCTCATCATGCATCATAATCATAAAATCGTTACATGAATTTATGTACACTTTGCGAATACGCTCGTAATTTCGGATATATGTATTTATGTTTATATTATTATAACACATGGATAAACTATACCCGTAATATGAACTCTAATGAGAGATTATTGGATCTTGGAGGTAACAACACACGCTCCACGGTTCCAATAAAAAATAGAAAGTGTTCACTTTTGGCTGATAAATTATAGTATAGCCAAGATCAATAATACTTAGATTTGGAAGATTTGGAAACTCGGTTGCATCAATTTCAAGGTGCTCTCGAGACAATAGCCAACACCACTTTCGTCGAGAAAAGTGATCCGACCTATTTTGCAAAATTTATACTAATGGCCACGGAACCCAAGCTTTACGGACATCTCTCTCTCTCGCTGTTCTAAGTTTAAGTTTCATATAGAAATCCCAAAGCACCCAAGCAAAAACAGAAGGAGAAAAGTAGCCTACTTCGTTTCCCTAATTTTCAACATTCAACTTGACTTTACTCCAGAAAAGGTACTTTTCACTTATTTTCATTTTCAAACTTTCCTCATGCATGCATACTCAACCAAGTAAGCTTAGCTAAATTGTCTGAGGATATTGCAATCACCATCCACCAAAGCCAACTACCATCATCAGCACCAACCAAACCAGCAGCAGCAGAATGGAGAGAAGGCATAAAGCCAGCAAATATTGCTCAGTCCTCCTCCTCTTCACCCACCACCAACACCACCGGTGTGAATCCAGAATTTTTAGAGTTGGTGAGAAAGTTTGTGTTTGTTACTTTCTCCTGGTCCGTTGGTTGGTAGTGTGCGAGGAAGAGAAAGAGGTAAGCAAAAGCAAACTGTGAGAGCCCTACTTGCTGGCAGAGAAAAGAGCGATGGATCCATCTCATGTTTCATTCATGATCACACTCTTTCCACTCAACTCTCTTGTTCTTGGCTTCGTTTGGCAAAATGGTCCTTCTTCCCTGACAAAGGTATCTCATCAGATTATTGCTCCGTTTCAGTCTAGAAATGAGCCACGGACGGGGATGACGCTTTACTTTTTTATGCTACCAAGAAGGATTGCCAAACCTGTGTTGGATCTTTGTCAAAACCAAGTATGCATAATATACAGCTCCCAAGATGTAGATGACGACAAGTGACATGTAAATTTGAATTTTTAAATTAGTCCGAATGTACAGGTTGACAATGTTGTCACCCTCACACAATTCTTCATCCGTTCCGTTGTATGCATGTACATAAATCCGGTCCAGAGTGGGTGTCAGGCTGTTGGAGCTATATTCTGCTGTCAAGTCAGGAAGAAATTTACATAAAAGAGTCCAAATTGAGTAAAGGTAGGTGCTAACTTGATTGAAAAGATATCAAGGACTTCAATTAGCACAAACGTTTTTCTGAAATTATGAGCTCACAAATTCTGACGTCAATGTGGCGTGGTGTGAAAATATGAATTTCAGATCGGAATACAAAGATTTAAATCTGATAAACAGCAGCAGCCAAGTAAAATGTTTTCGTGTTCAGTCTGTCAGTATCGTCTTGTTCCTTAACTAAGCCCCACTTTGTATTCGTCGGCCAAACTGGCATCCTTAAGTTATTCATAGATTCAAAAACGACGCTGGTGTTCCTGTGACAGTGACTGCAGGCCAAACCAGACGATAGGCCAACCAACGCTTTGCGCTTGTCGATGTAATAACAGAAAGCGTCAAAAGTTGGTTGGTTACCATGTTGGAGGAGGACAACAGATGCATTCCCAACGAACCACGCCACCAAATTTGCAGCAGTTTCCATCATCATCGTCTCGTTGTCCCACGCCTTGAAAACTTTGATGCGCGAAATAAGTGTAAATTAGAGTAAGTCACGTATTTCGCCGTTGGTGGATCCCGCCTACGTTCCGGTTTTAAAGTAGAATGGAGCGCCGAGAAATGGCAGGAAAGCAGCAAAAGTCGCCCAAACTTGGCATAATATATCATCCAACTCTCTCAACCTATTCTTAACCTATACACAGTTGCAGGTTACTCACTCTACTTTATGAGCATAGCTGTGTACGTGAGAATGTCGATTTGTCCAAGGGCACATGTGTATAGTACGATACCATAGATTTACGATATGTCTTGAGAAGTATTAACGTTCTGAATGCAAAATCAGGTAAAGTTTTCTTTGTTTTCCTAAAAAATTTCATTACGACCATTCGCCCCACGAAAAATGATGCTTCTCAAAGGAAATCAAGGCAAAATAAATTGAGGTGAAGCATCATCAAAGAAGTTTTCCTACTGGTTGGTGGGTCGTATTTTAAAATCGTATTTAGGAAGTTCATAAAACTTGGAGAAAGTAGACAAACCTTTGCTTGGTCTTATGTATATACTACCTGGAGATGAGATGAGATAAGCTACGTAGGGATATCATTCTGTCTTCGCCTTGAACGCCCAGCTGCATAAGCTATATGTATGAGCATATCATCAAGTGGAAAATGGAGATATCAAGCAGTCAATCTACTGACACGAAATTGCCAAATCCCTGCTGAATATTCCGCCCACCTCGATGGAGCCAGTCAAAATTCAAAATGAAATGACTGTATATTCCTAGATATAAGCACGTACATACACATGTACATGCATACGTAGATACATATATATCCGCATTCAAAGTTGAGAATACTCCGTTCAATTTCACCTCTTCAATCAAATCAAGAATAAAACTATGGGAATTGGAACACCCACTTATTCTACTCTCCCTTCTTTCTTTCCCCTTCACATCCTGAGAAAGGCAAACGTCAAGTGGTTGTAGCACAAGCACAACTCAATCGTACGTACATATATTTACGACTAATGCCATTTCTTGAATCGAGAAAAGGAGGAAACTTGAGACTGGAGTAGTAGAATTTCGAAATAAGTTGCATCGAGTCCACCAAAACTGATATTGCCTCAAAGTTCCTCATTCAGCTCAGTCACCGTCACAGAGAACAAATGGAAGTGTTTTCGGCTTCATTCCAAACCTTGACAGATTCCAACTCTAATTTAACGGGGTGAAATTAAGTTCCTTCCTTTTGAGTCTGTACGTACACTTTCCTCCTGAAGCTAGGAATTTTCCAACCTATTTAAAATATGTAGACCGAAAATATTAAAGCCTTTGAGTTGGCTGGGTGCGGGTGGTGGATTGTAGGTAGGCTTGCATCTTTCCTTTGTACCTTTAATATTGTTTGGTGACCTTTATGTATTATGGAAACGGACTGAGAGAGAAAGAGGACGAGGGCAAGAAAGAAGTGGTGGAACAAGAATATACTTGGCTCAAGTTGAGAGAGCCACGTATTTTATTAAGGCTGCGTATTTTGGGTGATCAGCAGTCAGAAGTTGTGATCTCTCTCTCTCAATTCCTGCGACAGATGAGACAGATCTCAAACTCAGCTCATTTACATTGCAGTGGAGCTGGAGTCATCCCTTCCTTTCAATTTCTAATTTAGTCTCGATTTCGGAATTCCTTGGTTCCCTCTCTGCTGCAAGAAATATATTTGCGTATAATAAGGCATGGTTGGAAGGAGGAGGGGCGTTATGTGCAATTTCAAAGTCTGTTAGTCTTTGGTGGTTGAGTTTCAACCAGATTTCTCCTCATTTCGACTTCTTCTTCTTCTAGATTAAAACTGAAGAATTTACGGACTTGCCCTCCATTCTGCTCGCAGTCTACTTCGTACACCGTCCTCATTTTCGTCCAACTGCTGAGCTTTCTCCGTCCGACAATCGAGGTTTCAGCTCGAGCGTAGATTAGTATTCCTATCTACTTCTTGTGCATACTGCGTACATACTCGAATTACAAAATATCTGGCTACGAATGAACTGACAAATACCACTCCCTGCAAATTCCCTAGACTTGAAGGGATGTGCTGAGGAATAACTCTCCCCGTCTGATTAAAGTCATTGGAACCTACCGCACCGCAAACCGCAGGAACCTAAGTATAGAATGTGAAATGGGAAGGCATCTTTCTTCTTTATCCTTCATTATTACTATTAAATTCCACAGCATTTCTGGCAACGCATTGCACAAGTTGTGGGATTGGATCTTCTTAACACTTTGTAAATTGGGAACCAATTATAGATTTTATAGTTTTACTCCCAAAGTTGCAGCCCACCGTTGTGTTCAATTATTGTTGAAGGTAATTTCTATGTTCGCAATTCGTAAGAGTGTATCTTCACTGGGTACACCCTCAATTTTCGATAGTTTGGAATTGAGTGAATAATTAATTAATTAATATTTCTCATCGTGAAAATCTTATAATATACGAAGTATTATATACGCGAAGGAAAACTGAACATCATGTCTTTTACCGATCAGCAAAGGCTGCTGGTTGGAATATTTCAGTGCGTGGGAGTGAGCACCTCAAATATGACCGACTAATTTTCGAGAAAGAAACTTCGCAGCTCCAAAACTGAGCACCTTTGATCCTTTCACATTGTAGGAAACTTTTGTTTTGAGCTGCCAAATTGAATTTTTAATGGGATCTTATTATGAAACAAGACAAAGGAATTGGGGTGAGGCCTTGTATCATTTTCTTTGTCGTGAATATTACCTCCAAGCAGTATTAAATACGTCAGAAAGTAACAAGCATCTTTTAGTACGTTATTATTATAAGGTGTCCTTCGGATGAGTAGTGCATTTGATTAATTTAGTTGACGGCACAATTCGGTTAAGACATTTTTGGAAAATTCTGATCGCCTTTTCACACATAAAAATAAAGACACATGTTCAAAAGTTATGCAAATATTGGGAAAGTAAAATGAATTACTCAACACATGTCTCAAACTTATTACTTATCGTAGTCGACTGAACTTATCGACTGAACTAGTTATAAAATCGGACAAGATTCTAGATCTCTCTTGCCCGTTTTTATAACCAGGCCTGCGATATACTTACGTATAAATACTTCTGCATGAATGTTATGAATGTAAATACTTACGTGAACAGCAAGTAACAAAAGTAGATTGGAAATCAAGAGGGCAAATCCAATGTGCAGGTGAATGGGTGGTTGATTACTATGGGTCGATTTTCGGACGCATTTTGCTGTTCCAAGAACCGTCAGGACTTGAGCTATTGCAGCAATAACTCCTCCGACCGCCTGTTACAGAGATTAAACATACGAAAATGATTACTGACGAAACAACCAGATTTGGAATGCACCAACTTGTACAGCAAATGATACATGACGCGTTTGTTCCCAAGTTTCTAATTCTCAAAATGATTTAGAGGAGAATACACACAGAATTATAAGGCTTCAAAGCAAGTACATATCTATTAACCGAAAATGAAACGGAACGGATTGGTCAGAACTCGACAATTTTGTTTATTAATTAACCTTCTAAATAATGGTACAAATTCACATAAGTATTAGTTTGTTGTATATGTGTGACTATGTAATCGTACCGTTTATATAAACAACAAAAGTTATTCTTAGGTGAAGGAAAAGTAACCATAAAGTGATCATGTTAAAAGATCACCATGGTTACGGCGAAGCCTAGGTATGCATTCAGCTGCAACTTTGAGAAACTCCCACTGAGATTTCTCCCCAACCGTTCGTTGTACGGAAAACATGTTGAAACAAAATAGTTAGATAATTCGGTTTTACAGTGACATTTTTCTTATTTTTCCAAAATTCCAATTCCTTCAGGTGGAAAGTCCGATGCCTAAATTTTCAAATCTATTTCTTGGCACCAAGGAAATGTTTCCGACCGGGGGCTTGCCATTTTTACTATTCTCCTGGATAATACGCACATTTTAAGCCTTTGTTAGACTTAATCGGATGAAAACTCATGGAATTAGAGCGTTTTGAAATATTGTCATTAAGCAACCTATTTACGTTTTGTTAGGTTACTGGTTGCTAACGTATGCTAATAATGTGGGGTTTATTTTTTATTAGCATTACTATTTCAACATATGTAACATTCCTTAAAATTCTGAAAAATTAAGCATTGATCAAATTCCATGAAATACAATAATAATAAGTAATAATAATAATAAATAACTAATCCACCCACTCGGGATTAAATTAGTATGCCACGCATCCACCCATAGGAAAGTTCACAACGTTTAAGAATTGATATTATGATTTTATACATTTAAGTTCACACTTCACTAAAAATAATTAAATAAATACATTTAAAAAAACAAACTTAGGTGAAGGACGCGCTTAAAATATTAAAACAAGAAGCATTACAAAATGTTACAATATCGTTTAATATTTAGTAACTTTTACTTCACCGTGGGCCCAACTAACAGAAAAAATACTTTCAGGCATTTTGTGTAAACGAAATACGTAATTTTTATATAATAAACTTGCTAGATTTGAATTATTATCTTTCAATAAATAGTGACTTTGCACATTTGGTATAGAGAAAATTTGCCCACATTCTGACTCATTTTAATTCCTGAAACAGGTAGACTTTTCGTTTTAATTGGTTAAACAAGTCGCTCTTTTAGTTGCATTTAGTGTTACTTATCGCTGTGAAAATGAAATAGGTATAGGGTTGCCGTTTTATCCGAGATTATCCTATCCGATCGGATAGGATCGGATAATGTCGGATAGGATGAGCAAAAATACGATTCGGATATCCGTCGGATAGGATAATTTTTTCAAATTATCCGACTCGGATTATCCGACGTTGTCCGTCGGATATCCGACGGATATCGGATAATTTTGAAATGACGAGTTACGTGTAATTTGTGCACGTTGTATGTGCGAAAGTAAAGTAAATATTTCATCTCCAATTGTATTTCATTATCAGCCAGGATATATTTAAGTAATTCCAGACAAATCTTAGTAAAGCTAGCAGGTGTAAAATTATTACCATGTCAGACACAAAACGGTTCCATTTGTGGTAATATAAGGTTATTTTCCCATTGCTTAGAGAATCAATCTAGTTCTGTGGGTGCTTTGACGTAATTAAGTTGAATATTGACATTGTGTATTAAATTGAACTGATTACATACTGCGTAGTGCGTATCATACCTATTCAAAATAATAAAGAAAAGTGGAGACTTACGGAAAGACGTTTGTCAAATACATACATACGTATCACTTCTAATTCCTACAACTCCCTTAGTAGTTCAGTCTGCTCAGTTCACTTGACATATTTAATTTTAATAGAGCATATGTATGTAAATTGAATACCCGACAATTGTTGGCATTATTTAAAATTTTTGTGTTTTTTCCTAATTAATTTTATTATCCTATCCTATCCGTCGGATATCCGACGGATATCGGATAGGATAATATTTCTGAAATTATCCGACTCGGATTATCCGAACAGTGGACTTATCCGATTGGATAAAAATTATTTTTATCCTATCCTATCCGATCGGATGGCAACCCTAAATAGGTAGTTGGGCCCACGGTGAAGTAAAAGTTACTAAATATTAAACGATATTGTAAAATTTTGTAATGCTTCTTGTTTTAATATTTTAAGCGCGTCCTTCACCTAAGTTTGTTTTTTTAAATGTATTTATTTTTTATTTGTGTTTGTCATTTGTCTGCACATAAGTGAGAGACTCAACATGTCGCTAACTATGTTTCTCACTTGCTCACTATATAAATAGTAATATTTAGAGTGATATTAAACCTCCAACTTTGCAACTAGAGTCGAAAGTTTAATTCCAAAGTTGACAAATTCACGCACCACGACCTCTTCAGCGTCGCTTATTGTTCCCACTGCGTCTCATGCAACTTTTCCTTTCCCCAAACACATCCAGATATAACCACGAAATGTAACAAGTCTATAATGAAATGAGAGAGGGGGAAAGCGAGTAAATTAAACTGGATCGAATTGGAATACTTAAATAAATGCAGTGACCATGAACATTGTCATCCTACGTAAAATAAAGCTCAGCACGTTTGAGGGCTTGAGCCAAATTTGGTGAAACATGACGTATGTACATACGGCAGACCTGTCTAACTTTTGACTTTGATGCCAAACTGGTGGGACCGCCAACAAGGTAATAATCCCTTTGTTTCGAGCCTGTAAGTTAATTAAGGATTTTAACTCGTTCAGTTTACTTTCCCTTTCGGCGTAGTTGGTGCAAATGTGCGAATAACATATTTAGCGAGAACTTTTGAATTTAATTTAAATGTGGCAAAGGATAGAAAATCCAAAATTTTGAGTGTGAGTGAGGCAGCAGACAAGTTTGCGTAGTCGGAGTACATGTAGTTGAGAGAAAGTTTGGACAGAGCTGTGCTCCTGCTGCTTCCTGCATTTTGCATCGCCTGGGAAAGTCGGAGTGGGTGGGTGGGTGCTCAGAGTGGATTTGTTCGTCCGGTTTTTAAGCTTTGTTCTGTTTTCATTCTCTTGCCTTCCAATAAATGAAGCCGCAGCTGCTATCGCTCTCTCTCTCCGTTGTTTTAAGCAAGACCATAATGCAAAGTTCACATTCGAATGGAGGTGAAGACAGGAAATAGCAGTAAAATTTAGACCACAAGACAAATACGCCATGAGCTCAAAATGTGCAAATCTATTCAAATTAGTGGAGCTAAAAATGATAAATTACTTGCCATGTTCTTTCCAGTCAGAAATATATGTTTGCTTAGCCCTAGCCTATTTTCGTTTTCAAGAGCCTTGAATTTTCTAAATTTTAACCTGTTTATAATCAACGTGTATCCATGAAAAATAGGAAAAAGGCACTTGCGAGATTCTTGATTTATGTTTTCGAGATAGGAATAAATCAAATTATTGCGTATACTTCGTTAAATTCGTACTAGACTTTCGTAGTCGACCCACTAGTTTAAGCCCCAAGCGTGCCATTTGGAGAAAGCTCGAATGTCATTGATAATAATTTTCGATTATCGGTTGTGGGACTGATGCCCATTAAATCACTAAATCACTGATCTCATTCCTATGCTAGAAATTAAATGGGAACCGTTCGTGGAAATGGAAATGATTATTTAAATAACAAGAATGAATAAACAAACCTGAATTATTCGACCTACAACTTCCTCCTTATGGTAGTCACTACTGTACCTATCGCCAAAATACACGTACATCACGCTGTCAATCCGTCCTCTGGAGATCACATCCTGAAAATGAAAGTCAGTCAGTTATTTGTAACATTTATGCAAAATTGCAAAGTATTTTAATCTTTTCTATGGACTCGATGTCAAAATTTGGGTTTGTAATAGTGAATTTTGGGATTCTTCATTATGTTGCACGCATTAAGTATTGCGTGGTTTTGTAGGAAAGTATAGCATACTTTGAAATTGCTACCACTTGTTACTGCATGCTCGCTTATCATCCCACTATCCCTGACTCTGATTGTGCTAATAATTTGTGACGTAGTAGTTATGAGACGACGAGGGCGAATTAGATTTTTTGCAGCATGATTAGATAACAACCTTGAATGAACTTACCGCTAACCCATTCTGAGCAATAATAGCCTCCGGAGCTTCCGTCGACATCAATGGATCAACGTCTGATGCTGAGGGAGATGCAGCCATTCGATGTTCTCTCTCGCTCAATACTTGTTGTTCCTTCAGTTTTAGTCGATTTTGCCAACTACTCAGGTTCATAAAATGGTCGAGAAAGTCAGTATGAATTTTTTTGTTGTTGTACAAATTGAATTTTCTTCCGGGGGCCTCTTCTTCCCTTTCGCCCGGATTACCTCCACCAGCGTCTAACCCTGCTCTGTTATTTTCATTATTGTTGATTAGATTTTCATATTCGGGTTCACCGTAATATTCTCCTGTTCCATTTGTACTGTCATCTGGATAAACACCTGCAACATTTTGAAAAGCATATTAACAACGTCACTGAGGTTTTTAGTATATTTCCGGATGTTTAGTAGAAACAAATTTTGTTGAATTTATAGATTTGCATTGTGATGTTTCATACTTTCTCAACTTAAGGTTAGGTTAGGATTTCTAAAGTGGAATTAAAAAGTATTAAGCCTAAATACCTCCAGATGAGGAGAGCCATTCGGGGTACAGCATTGAGGTTCGTCTTCCTCCGGGTGTAGGAAACTTATTATCTCGAGGACCACTCTTGTTGGGTGGAGCAGAAGTAGATAATTCTGTCCCATCATTGAATGCTAACTTGACTGAAGGGTGGAGAAGAGGAGCCGAGGTTTCAGGTGCGTCTGATGGAGGTACCCACGAATGCTTTCTCCGAGAAGATGTTTCCTCGTCCTCAACCTCCTGCTCTAATTTGAGTGACATGGGCTTCAACGGTGTCAATTCCACGGACATGGGGCGGACCAATGAGGGCGAAATGAAATTGGGGGTCGGGTGAGATGATGTCGTAGTCCATGGGGCCAACGAGGCTCCTGCGAGATCAAGGATTGATCGACTTACGTTGCTATTTGTGGAGAGTTCTTTATCATTTGCACCTCTTCCACTGTCGTTGGGAGGGCTGCTGCTGCTGGGTCGATGTGATTTATCCGACTCAATTCTCAAAAGTGATTGCTGCTCATGAGTTAAATTGAGTTTAGATGATCGAGTACTAGACCACAACTTCCGCAGCAAATTGATATTGGTCGGCTTCTCTCCAGTTTCCTCTGAACTCGTCGTTGTCGTCGTGGGTTTTTTAGGATATAGGAAAAGCTCGGCTCTGGAGCGACTATCGATGGTTGTACTGGATGTGGACGACGATCTATCAAGAGCATCTTGGCCGACCTCTTTCGGAGAGTGGTGTGGTGTCCCCAGATTTGATTTCAACTTGGCATTATCATCCCAGTCTTTGATGACGATGGGGGATAATGGGAAGTTTGATTGAATGCGAAATTCACTGGGTACAACAGAACGTGTCGGGGGATTTGATGGTCGTCTAAGTGGACTAGTTTTACTCTCCATAATTTCTCGGTGTGGGAGAGAAAGTTTGGCGGCGGTGGTGGTGGCGGCGGCGGAGATAGTTTTTTCCATCAAAGGTGATCTTGCAAATTGACCATTAGAAGTGAGTTTGGATGCAGAGTGGTAGTCATCCGTCCGTGCTAGACTGGAGGATGAATGAAATACGTCTCCTTCACTGGCTCCTAGTTCATCACCCTCGCGAGCAGTTAAGACGGAAGGATGTCCAGGTCTCATGTTGGCATTGAGATTTAAAGGAGCGTCGGTGGAAGGTATTGCTCCCACGAGATTCAGCGAGATACCTGCACGGAAAGAGAAAGAGCAAAAGGTGAGGCGAAAGTGCTTATGAATTTTGCATCCTCTTCCACACCCAATTCACTCCTGATTGTTCAGAATGCAGGTGTTTGCTCACTCCCTAATTATTATTTAAAGCGGGTTGGAATGGGAGCAGAAATAAATTTTAATTTACACTAAATAAACGTTAAAGGAACGTGATGCAATTTGTTTCTAAACATTTTATGTAAGTCTATATTTTTATCATTTTATTCCATTTAAGTGTTGAAGCAGGGAACCGAATCTAAAATTGGGCATTTTTTACTGGGTGTAAAATTTTTCATGTTTAAACCTTTCCATTACATCAAAGTTGATGCCGTTTTGTATTACTCAAAGCAAAAAGCGTCACTAAAATTAGAATTTATGTCTTTCACAAGCATGACTCTTCTCAACTTCCGACCTCGATTTCAACAATGACCTACAACGCTTCTACTCTTCTTCTGTAGTAGAAAGGTAAGTGTGCAAAGAGAAAGCAACGTGCATATCGTTTACTGCTACACTTTTATGAACAAACGTCCAACCCGGGATGAAATTACGGCCCATCGTGAGTGGGATAGTGATGATATAGCGACAAGTTTTGATGAAAGTGCTCAGTTAGTCTCAGCTAAGTAATTAACGCATTATGTGAATTATGAAATTTGAATTAAATAAAAATGCCGGATAAAATAGTTTGCACTAGTTGTTTAATGGACACAGTTTATTTTAAGTCTGGATCTAAACCTGACTTTCTATAATACTGAAAGTCGAATATTATGTACGTGGGTCCTGTATGGTACATATCCTTTCAATAAAACTCATATATTTTTATCAAATACAATCCACGCAACCATCCAGTCCCGATCCAAACCAGATGCTGCACCTCTGCTGGCATCTGTGGCACCTCTTCCATCATCCAAGTTAGTGCAGAGAACCATTCTGGATTTCATATGTGTGGCAACTGTGTGAGGTTGAAAAACAAGTGAAAGGCAGACATCGCTCGGTTATTACAATTTGCCTGGAAATGAAACGTCGTTTGCAACGGTTACCATTTCTATATGTCAAGTGCCAGTCAGCCGACATCAGTCAGGCTCATCCCAGTGTTTTAAAACATACCGAGCAACAATATTCCAGTATTATATTCTGGGTGAAACCTGGATCCGAGATTTGACACGAGATAAATGACAATGGGTTTTACGGCGGCTGAGGGTAATAACTAGAGAGATACAGACATCCTCCCCCAACAATCCCATCCCGTACTTAATTTCAAAGGCTCCCAACGCTTCCTGCTTTTCCGGAGGTGAGAGAGATGTATGCACAAGAGAGGGTGGCGCATAGAATTGTGCCAAGTGCAGTGAAGCCGTTTTTGCACTAGAGAGGCATTTAAATGTATTTTATGTTACAAATAAGTAAATACAGCAAATTCGTTTAGCGAAAACTGATTAAAATGTTAAGTTAGGTAACGTAATTGTATAAATTTCGCCATGCAAATTTACCACCTTTCACCCGCTATCATTATATATTTCTAATGAGCAGAGAATAGAGTGGATGGGATGGAGCATGCGTTGCGTATCCCACTTTCATGTAAACCTTAAGTGTGGGTGAACCATCAGCATCCTGCCGTAAATGTGAATGATACAATCATAAAATTGAACTCTGTTATAAAGGTCTAACTATAAGCTCAATGTTCTCAATTCCAGACGTCCATATGTACGCACAGCAAAATCCTCGAGTAAAATGGAGTAAAACAGTAAAGTCATTGATTAGGATTTTATGGCTCGTTTTTCACAACGAGATCTTCAAAAGATATCAAACTTCTTGTTGGGAATGGAGTGAAATAAAATTGCTTTCACCAACAACAGCTCGAGCAAAGGGAGGGAGGATGCTCTTCTGGAAAACATTTTATTTTCAGTAGTTTCGTGTCTCGCACTCGTAAACTCAATATTCTCTTAAAACTAAATTGCACAAATATTTTGAAACTACCGATTGAATGCTGAATAATATTAATTCATTAAAACGGAAAACTTTCACCGTATGAGCCAAGTTGTTTTTTGCATAATTTGATAAAAGCAGAACCGAAGCAATGTCAGTATCAAAGTAAACGTACATGTTGTGCACGTTTTAATGCAGTGTTTGTTTCGCAAAACTGTTACTGTGACTTGAGCCGCTTTTAAAAGTACATTCAACGTTGCTGCTCCTCTGGAAATGCTCACTTCAAAGTCAAATGCATTGCGTGAATTGTATCTGTATCTGTTTCGGAGCCTGTTGAATAACAGTTTTACCTAATAGTAAAGCCTCCCTCGTGAAAATTCCTATTTGCAAAATAATTCAACGAAATTATTGAAATTCTTGGCCAATACATGCCAAGGTTATTCATAGGACAACTCTTTGATCTACGTGCATAAACCGGAATTCATACATCTCAACTTTGTAATAAATTGTGCGATGATGGAGGAAGTAGAATTTGGGTTTGAAGATTAGCACTTCAAAGGCATTTTTGAATGTCTATTACAACTCGCCCACCCAGCAGCTGGCTGCCTAAAAAGTCCTCCTGTTCCACTTTCTTCGCCCAAAAAATTTTAGCGAATGACAACATCAAAAGTTTAATATTACCTCAGTTACATCGCCCACGTCCTTAAAATATAAACCAACCACATCAGCACGAATGTATGTCATAAATGGGGAATATGTGAAAAAATGGTTAAAGAGGCTGAGTTATGAACCATTTGAAAGTAGAGGAAAGAAAACTGAGGAGAGTTTCAAAAATCGTTAAAGAGGCTGAAAAAAGTTGCTGATTAGTTTTTTCCACTGTGTGTGTGTTTGGAATCTGGGTGAGCGTGTATGTACATATGTATGTACGTATGCTGTTGCTGGCTGGCTGGATGGACGGACGGGTGGATGGAGGAGTAGAGAAAGCGAGGACTTTCACTTACCAGCCGAGAAGGAGAGAAGGAGGAGGAGGAGGGAGCAGGAGGTGAGTCGTCGTCTGCCCTGGTGGTCCTGGGTTTTGGACTCATGCTGCATTTTTGAGCTGCCGGAAGACTGAAGTATTTGACCCATTTGGAACAACTCCTCTCTTCTCGGACGACGACGACGGCGGCGGATTGTCTCCTCCGGCCTTATTTTTTGAACCAACATCTGCCCTGCTTCAATCCAGTGCATCCAATTCTCCTCTGCAGATCCAAGAGTTCAAGTTGAAAGGAAAGAACCCGAATTTCAACGTGGCAGCCCGGTTGTTCCTTTCGATGGTAGATTTGATGTGGCGTTGGATGGTGGATGGTGGTGGAATAGCATGAGGCGGCCTAGAACATGGAAGAAAGACAAAAAAATCCTCTCATCATCATTAATTCTTTCTGGATTACAAGTTATCTTGCCGAGTTCAATTTGCCGGACTTGTTCCGGTGCTACTACCATTACGGATATAATACGTGGTTGTGTGAGGCTGCAGGCTGTCGGTAGTATATATGTGTGAATACATACATACAAACATACGATACGGGCATGTTGTGGTGTTGGAGGAGTAAGATTGTGTATCAAGCAGCTTAGGGAGAAAGTAGCACTAACGTAGGAGTCGAAGAAAAAATGAGCTTTCCCTACTTTCGCCAACAGCCATGGACGGGAAGGAACACAGGAAATGGAAATCCCATCTCCTTCCGCGTGTTATGCCTTTTAAATCCACGTCTTTATGGTAATCGCTTTCTTGTTACACTTTAGCTTACAATTGTTAGTCCTTTCTAACCCAGTACTAAGCGTAGCTGGGAATTGAACAACCGTGGAATTTATTGTAACATGAGTTGCAAACCCATTTGCTGGACTATTTGAAATTTTGTGGAGAGTAAAAAAGACAACCTTTTTCCAAGTGAAAAATTTTGCCGAATGCATATGACTGCATATTTATATAAATACGTGTAAAATATGCCCAGACTGATGCCTGCACATGACAAAATAGGTGAGGGGACGAGACAAACAACAAGTACAGCAAATTGTTGCCTTTGACTGATTGTACCTCTAAAAATAGTGAATAAAAATGAGGATCTTAATAGAATACAAATATATTTACATATGCAGCAACAGTATTTTTTACTTGGCACAAAGGACCTCGTTTCCCCTCATTTCAGTTTGTCACGCCAACTTTTGATTAATTTGAAAGAAAATCTCAAAGAATCTCAGATGATGGCAGAAGAAGAATCAACACTAGTTTTGGCAGTTCTGCCCTTCTCGTTGCGTCTGTATTAGGATGAGCAAGCAGCAGACGATGGTTTACCAAATTTTCTCCCAGTCCTCCACAACTTTAATTTGATAAGATGGAGTTGGTTAAGGCGTACATACATTTCTTTCACTTGGCGAAAACCTCTTATCTCATTTCGTAGTACAAAGAGCCTGGAACTGAAACCTATCTTTCCAGTGTCAATATTTATTTTAACTTTAACACGAAGAAGAAATATAACGTGAAGATGAGAAAACAGTGGATGAGCTGAGCTGAGCCATCCTTCATCTCTCCTGCCTCACTGACGGAGGACGAGTATTAAAGGAAAGAGGCTTGCTTTAGAAAGCAACCTACACATGCATACGTACGTACGTACATTTGAGTATGATAAGTATGAATAGGGCACTGAAAAGTGGATTGAGCGGTATATTTATATGCATATCTTTCTCGCCATCAGGCTGCATATGTAAACTTACTCATATACAGTCATGCATGCACGCATACACAAACTGCGAGCTTCAATATCCACGTACTTTCCCTACCTGATAATTTCTTTGTTGCATAATTGAACTTTTCGGCTACGTAACTTTATGAAAAATCCATAATATTCATATTTTTAGGGAGCATGTCTTGGCTGTGAAAGTTTTCGCTCCAGCCAAATGCAGTACTCCATCGCTCAGGTGTTGGCAGTGTGTTACGTAAATTTAGGAGGGAGTCGTTATTAGGGTAAATAATCCCGTGACCCTGTCGTGCAGAATAATCTGAACAACAGACTTCGAAAAGCCGTTGTCTCTTTTTCATTATTATTTACATGAATGCACTCCAGGCAGATTGATGAAGTTTCTTGCGACACAAACGCGTCTTCTTTCTCCTTCTTCTTCCATGTAATCAAATAAATTGTCAATCGTGCTAGATGTTCGCAGCCTTTGATCTTCAGTACAAATTGCTTTTCTGGAACTTCCAACTTTGTGCATGTGTCAAAAAATTGCTTCTCATAAAGAATGCATACCCAATTTAAAAGTAATTTATTTAAACTTGAGGGATTATTTGGGGTGCTCATATTCCACAAGTGAGAGGATTTGGATCCTGGTAAAAAATGAGCTGTCAAATGGTAACAAAACTCAATGTCAAAATTATTATGCGAAACTATGTAGGTAAGTAACCAAACCAATGTGGCAGTAAAATTCCTGTGAAGAATTGAAGAAATGTCCCGATTTTCATTGTTTTAGTATTGTTACGGCATATTTGCCATCAATATCAAAAGTATAATAAAAATAATACAATATACACATAGATCCTTGCGGAAATTGCATATCGGATACGAATACGTATGTATGCATGTAGATACCCTTGATTTGATGTAAAAGCTACAGTGTAAGTATCACTACCAAAGTAGTACTTTCATTGGTTTCATGTTTTCCTTTCCTCATAGCCGAAGGAAAGCACATTTCTCATTTCAAGAAACGACTTGTGATGCAAAGAGCAGAAGCTCACCAATTTTTCAAAAGCATAAAGTCAAGTCGGGATTCTCGACCTCATGTCAGAACCACAAGAGAGCATTTTGATTGGCTGTCTATCTTTCTTGCCTGTATTCATGTGCATACGTATGTAGCTGGTTGGGCATAAAATCTTTCAAATCTTTTTTCCCCTTCCCCTTCCTCTCCGTCATCAATCTCACAAGAGAATACAATGCTGAAAGAAACATTTATACATTCGTATGTGTGTGTTAAAAATTACCCATATTCCAAAATGCCTTCTTACAATTTAACTCCAAAGATGTGCGCCGTGTCGGGGCGCCTCAGCCGTCCGTCCGTCGCATCTAAGCGATTTGATGTTGAAACTGCTGCACAGACCTGCAATATAAAAATATGTGTTTAATTAATTAAATTAAAACCTGCCGATTTCATTAAGAATACAAGTTTCACTCTCTTTACAAAATGGACATGAGATACAAACACTGGCGAAGGTTGGGTTGGGCTTTAAATAGAACAGAAGACTTGCATGGGGCACGAATTTAATTTTGCGTGAATGAGAAGATGAAAATACACAATCGCTTGTTCATATATCTCAGCCAGCAACAATCTTTCGTGTCGTGGTTTCTCCTTTTCCTGCTCAGCAATTGCTGCACACAGTCACTCGTAATTTTCTTTGGCGGAGTAATAATTAGATTAATTACGAATCCAACGCGGTTAAGCATTCTCATTCACTCGTTTCTCCTCTGCCGTAGTATCGTTGCAGGTTCGCCTTGAAATGCCTTTTGTCTCCTGATGAATTCTACGCAAACATGCAGTTAATTTGAAAACTTTACCAAAATGCAGAATTATTTATTTATATATGACCAGTGGTATCATTTCACTGAAAGGTTGTTCTTGGTTTGAATTAAATATATCTCTGATATCAATTTCAGCGAAATTTGGATGAGGAGCGTAGAAGGAGGGGGGAGAATGAAAAGGAAGCTACCTCGCAATCCTTCGTCCCTCGTAAATCCTAAAGCCGAAACATAAATTAACAAAGTGCAATGTATCATATCGCTTAGAAATAACTGTCACATAATTTCCAACCTAACCAACTTTCCCCACACTTTACGCTTTTGTACGACTCATTTATATCTACTGTGCAGCAGCACTGAGAGACTTTACTTGTTCTCTTCCTTCAGCTTTGTGGCCAAGCAATAAATTTAAATTAGAAAGGCTTCACCGCACAACAAAGTGTACACGTTATTGCAAAACGAAACAGTTTCGGTATTTAATTTCAATTTTCCACCTGTAACAGAAAATCATGACGAGATAAGAGCGTATGAAAAGTTAGCCGCGGGAGCTTCATTTTTTATTGAAATTCATTTTATCACAATTTTTGAAGATCTATGAAGCAGTTGCGACAAACTTTGTAAAAAAAAAAGTTGTGGAAAGGACTACACCCTGAGTAGCTGTTGCATGCATACAACTGGTGGTGATGGTCGTAGTGCGTGGCAGAAAAATTTGGGTAATGTAATAGTCCTAAGGTTTCCGCCTCACAGAACTTTCTTTCTTTGAAGAAAGAACGAGATGATTTTAAGAATGAAGTAAAATTCCTCCAAAGTGCAAACTTAATAAGCGCCACGGCCAAGATCTCCTTGAAAGTGGAGGAGTGCGTACCCTCGAAACATTGGGACACGCGGCGGCCACAAAAATTTCTACTCTGTAAAAGTCCAACACTTTGGATCGCCTTGTAATTTACAATTTGTTAGAAGTAAGCAACCACCTTCACAACTCCCCTTTGCCCTAACTTTTAATTTCGTTTGGACGTGAGCTTAAATTTGTAAGTCGCAGCTATGTAAGTCACAGCTATGCTATGCTACACAGACGAGGCTTCTTTGCTCCGAAAACGAAGTTATTTTTGTGTAAAAGTCTAGGAAAAGGAGAACAGAGAGGTATCAGACGTTGTAGAAATAGGGTAAAAGACAAGTACACTTTCACCTAAACGTGCATCTGCTTTAAAACAGAAGGAATATTTTACGTCATCACTCGAAATATTAATGTGTCGTTTTTGTGCTGGGATTTTGTTCCAATTTATTTTACGTACGTTAATTAAATCCAGTCTAAATATATATGGAAAAAGCTTAAAAGTTTAGTGCATTCGTTAACAGTAGTTAGGTCGACGTTCTTTTATTCACGTACACTTTTCGGCACGACTTATCTCCACAATTTACTAAAATGTAGCTAAAGCCAATTTGACAATTTTCTATACTCACAAAGGAATTTTCAGTGGAATAGTGGAATTCATACACTAGCTATGATACACTAGACAGAAATGTAGTGTGATGCTTTTGTGAATTCTGTGCCATTCGTCGTGTCATATTACACTTGAATCCTGCCATTCATTGTGTGTTCTCACAGCAAGAGGCGACATTAATGCTAATGAACAATTTCTCAAAACATGTGGCCCATTTACTTGGTGATTTGTGTCATTGTTAGGAAGATAGGTGTCCATCCTTTTGCAGGATGGACGCAATGAGCAGTTCCATTTTCTATTATCCTTTTATACGCGTCGTCGTCGTGTCAGGTATAGTGCACACTTTGCTCAACGACACCTCCAGCAGTTCGTGACATTGAAATGGGGCAAAGGACTTGGGAACACACACACATGTCACATCAAGTTGGATATATTCTTATTTTCGAGACATTGTAATAATAATTAAAGAATCAGCAGCAATGCATTTATGATATGCTTTCCATTTCGTAAGGCATATGCGCATCGATATATATTGCCTCTTTCAATGGCGTGGCACTTAAGGACATTTGGATGCAAGGAGTGATACTGATATCTAAAGCCTAAACCACCAAGGAAAAGAACGAGACAAATTAGTTAGCAGAGGTTGGCTCGGAGTGTTGTTGGACATGAGAACTGACGAGGAATGGAAAGCCGTGGTTGAAATAATAATGAACTTCTTTACCTGTCTCTCACACTCCTTTTGAGGGAAACAACGGAATCAACTATGAATTGCTTTGCTCAACTGAAATTCAGTAACTCACAAAATCCACACAAACCTACTGCCGACCCAACTCCAAACTCCTCGAAAACACGAACACGACTTCTCGAAACATGTAATTTTTTCCTTCGACTTTCTCCTTCTTATAATTAGCTTTAACAATGGGCTAATTAGCAGTGGACGGATTAATGTTGCAATATTCTATGGATTGTCTAGCTAATATTGATCTCCATTGAATTGAGATTAATAATTGCGCCAGGATAATAAGAATAACAATTGTAATTGTAACAATAATCAAAATAACGAGAATAATAATAATAATAACGTCGGGTTGACACGTGTGTTATGTCGATGTAGATGACACGCGCAAAATGCCTCATCATAATGGCAATGGTTGTGTCTGAATGTGAATATTTGGCTGTGATGTTGATGTGATAACATGTATAGATATTATTTAAGTAGTTGACAAATGGAAGCTCACTAGAGGACAATATGTTTCATCAGATGTGTGAAAGGGAGTGATACGACGACAACGACGATGTGTGTGCCCAAACGACGCATAGAAGAGGACTGTTGTGGTTACCTTATGCCAGTGAAAGTGAAATATGAGGGCATTCCCACCAAATGTGTGCTTTTGACGTGTTGACTCAGAAAATTAATGTTATTTCTTCAGTACGTGATAAAATAGTATTTGCGCCAAAGAAACTGCGAAAAATATTGATCAAGGATAACAAAAAGTGTTGATTCAGATATTTGGGATTACAGTCAGAGTAAAACATCTACGAAGCACTTTATAATCACAATATTAAAAGTGACCTGGTTCAAGGAACCAAATATTTAATGCAACTTTTTACTTTAGATTGTATTATTTCGTGAGAAATATTAGAATTACTAGTATTGACACCTGCTGATTGTTGTTTTTGTAGTGGGTTCGTTTATCCGCAAAGTGTGAATAAGTTGGCGACTGCATGCATGTAAATATTACGCATTTAAGTATATGCACATTTCCATATGTAACACAAACACATTTATAAGCGCTGTCAACATTCCTGGAAAGTATTCATTACAAGGTCCCCTGAAGGAATATCGTTTATGCAAAACTACAAAATTAGGAATGCACTGTAAAGTGCTAAAATCGTGCCTCGTGCAACAAGAGGGAGGAGCAAGGAATACAAATTGTTGTGATTAAGCAATAAAGCACACATGGTTATAAATCTTGGGCTGCATGCGATGTGATGCTGAAATTAATATTTTACAAAGGACAATAAGGGTTGACGAATAGCTTCCTCGCCTTCTCGTCCTCGGTGGTGGTGCCATTTCACATTTCAGGAAGCAGCTCTTCAATAAAGTTAACATTTTATGAGGAAATGCCTTCAAAGAGATGAGATATTGTCGCAATAAGGCACAATAGTGAAAGGGAGTCAATAGTTTCTTTGGCAGTCCTCATCTCACGGATCCGTATTAGCTTTCTCCCCTTCCCATCCCGCACACTGTTCATTCCTCTATTTTGAAACCACTGCATATTTGGCATGAGGAACATATTGACAAAAGCGAACAAACTATCGGGTAAAATGGGGAAAGAATTATTGGCAATCTTGAGAGACTCACGATTCTCAGAATTTTCACTATGTATTTCCACTGAGAATCTCAAAAATTGATACTTAAGTCCACATGCTACCGAGCGTTCGACTTGGTTCGGTTCGGTTTTGATCCCATGTGAAAGTCCCACTTTTTCATTGTTATTAAATTTTCCCGTCGCCTCTTTCTCCGGCAGAAGGAGGAGGCAGGGTCGATGGAACTGAGAAAGAATGAAACCCTTGTTTTGCTGTATGGCACAAACACACTTTGTTTTTATACGAGATATACAACATCCGGCAGGAAGGAAGCAAAAGTTGCCAAAATATCTTGCAACCGACATTAACTTTTTTTGAGGGGTTATGCTTTCGAGGATTCCGCTGCTTGTTGTGCAGGAATTTTAACATTTCTTTTAGAAGCCGATGGATTCTTATCATCACAACAAAACAATCCACTACCAGCCGACAACTTGGTTTCTTATCAAAATCTTCAATCTGTTGGAAATGTATGCATTTACATATATAGGTGGTTGAAACACAAAAATACTACACAATTTGGGATTAGTTGAACATATGGTAAATTTATCTCTGGCCTACCTTTTAGCTAGTAGAAAGTTGATGTTATTTTTTTTGTTTTTAATAATCATTGTGAGAAAGTTTAAAAGCCACATAAATATGCCTCCCACTTGCTAGACTTGCATTAATTTCCGGCAAAAAATACTCTTCCGCTGGAAGTTTGCATGTGAAAGAGATGTACATTGCAATTTATGGTAATTCTGTCATTCAAAATTACTCTTAATTGTATTGTTGG